TACACAAACAGACACACCCTTACACAAACAGACACACCCTACACCCTTACACAAACAGACACACCCTTACACAAACAGACACACCCTTACACAAACAGACACACCCTTACACAACAGACATCCCCTTACACAAACAGACACAAACAGACACACCCTTACACAAACAGACACACCCTTACACAAACAGACACACCATTACACAAACAGACACATCCTTACACAAATAGACACACCCTTATACAAACAGACTCACCCTTACACAAATAGACACACCCTACACCCTTACACAAACGGACACACCCTTACACAAATAGACACAAACAGACACACCCTACACCCTTACACACCCTTACACAAACAGACACACCCGTACACACCCTTACACAAACAGACACACCCGTACACACCCTTACACAAACAGACACACCCGTACACACCCTTACACAAACAGACACACCCTAACACACCCTTACACAAACAGACACACCCTCACACACCCTTACACAAACAGACACACCCTAACACACCCTTACACAAACAGACACACCCTCACACAAACAGACACACCCTTACACAAACACACACACACTTATACAAATAGACACACCCTTACACAAACAGACACACCTTTACACAAACAAACACACACTTATACAAACAGACACACCCTTACACAAACAGACCCACCCTTACACAAACAGACACACCCTTATACAAACAGACACACCCTTACACAAACAGACACCCCCTTACACAAATAGACACAAACAGACACACCCTTACACAAACAGGCACACCCTTACACACCCTGACACAAACAGACACACCCTTACACAAACAGCCACACCCTTACACAAACAGACACACCCTTATACAAACAGACACACCCTTACACAAACAGACCCACCCTTACACACCCTTACACAAACAGACACACCCTTTCACAAACAGACACAAACAGACACACCCTTACACAAACACACACACACTTATACAAATAGACACACCCTTACACAAACAGACACACCCTGACACAAACAGACACACCCTTACACACCCTTACACAAACATACACACCCTTACACAAACAGACACCCCCTTACACAAATAGACACAAACAGACACACCCTACACCCTTACACAAACAACACACCCTTACACAAATAGACACAAACAGACACACCCTTACACAAACACACACACACTTATACAAATAGACACACCCTTACACAAACAGACACACCCTGACACAAACAGACACACCCTTACACAAACAAACACCCACTTATACAAATAGACACACCCTTACACAAACAGACACACCTTTACACAAACAAACACACCCTTATACAAACAGACACACCCTTACACAAACAGACACCCCCTTACACAAACAGACACCCCCTACACCCTTACACAAACAGACACACCATTACACAAACAGACACACCCTTACACAAATAGACACAAACAGCCACACCCTACACCCTTACACAAACAGACACACCATTACACAAACAGACACATCCTTACACAAATAGACACACCCTTATACAAACAGACTCCCCCTTACACAAATAGACACACCCTACACCCTTACACAAACGGACACACCCTTACACAAATAGACCCAAACAGACACCCCCTACACCCTTACACAAACAGACACCCCCTTACACAAACAGACACACCCTTTCACAAACAGACACAAACAGACACACACTTACACAATCAGACACACCCTTACACAAACAAACACAAACTTATACAAATAGACACACCCTTACACAAACAGACACACCTTTACACAAACAAACACACACTTATACAAACAGACACACCCTTACACAAACAGACAAACCCTTACACAAACAGACACACACTTACACAAACAGACACACCCTTACACAAATAGACACAAACAGCCACACCCTACACCCTTACACAAACAGACACACCATTACACAAACAGACACACCCTTACACAAACACACACACACTTATACAAATAGACACACCCTTACACAAACAGACACACCCTACACCCTTACACACCCTTACACAAACAGACACACCCTTACACAAAGAGACACAAACAGACACAAACTGCTGGTATTTATGGAAATTTTGGAACAACTATGATTCTAAAAAATAATAACTAAAATGCTATTGATCTTTTTTGTAGTGAAATATTGTTGAAAATTAGCAGGAATCCATCTAAGTATAAAGATACTGTAGGTAATGATTTGACAATTGGTTGCAGCAAGCCCTGGAGCTGGGGAAAGCAGATGAAGAAAGACTACTGAAAAACAGAAAACTGGTTCTTTTGGTTGATCTTGATCAGACTCTTATTCACACAACTAACGACAATATTCCTGCAAATCTAAAGGTAAACCTACACTGGTTATTATACTGTAAACATCATATGTAAATGTAAAGCTAAATTAGTTTATAAATTTATGCTATTTGTATAAAAAAAACCACCCAATTATGAACACCTTATTTTGATAATTCTTAGAAAGTTACTATTTATAAAACTGGCTTTTAAGAAATGACAATTTTGTAAAACTGATATTTTATGGATGAAAATGGGACTGGATTGCCAGAAATTTCAATTTAAAACCTGGAAATGTTATTTTGGTAATTATGTTCTGTGTTAAAATCCTGAATTAGGAATATGATGTCTGTTATTGATTTCAGGATGTTAACCATTTCAAACTTCCCCATGGGAATTCCCAAATGTGGTACCACACCCGTATAAGGCCGCAGACTCTACACTTCCTGGAAACTGTCTCCAAGATGTATGAGCTACATATCTGCACGTTTGGTGTTCGTATGTACGCCCACACAATAGCCCGTTTCCTTGATCCGGAGGGGAAGTACTTCTCACACCGCATCTTATCCAGGGACGAATGTTTCAACCAAAATACAAAGACAGCAAATCTAAAGTAAATAATATATTGTGATTGATGAAATACTGTATATCACCTGTTTAAAGTGAACTGTTAACTTACTCTGAATCATGTAGTAAATATTTGCTCTGTAATATCAGATAACTTGTCTGTTCTGATTGAAAAATGTTCATGATGGTGGTTGTTTTGGACAAATCACATTGTTTAAAATATATTTTGTATATATCAGAATAAGATCAACTATTAGTATCATAGCTTCAGCACTTCAGCTATTCAGCTCTGATTGGTCAGCCTCTGTTGAGTTCTCTAGCTCTGATTGTTCAGTCTCTGTTGAGTTCTCTAGCTCTGATTGATCAGCCTCTGTTGAGTTCTCCAGCTCTGATTGGTCAGCCTCTGTTGAGTTCTCCAGCTCTGATTGGTCAGTCTCTGTTGAGTTCTCTAGCTCTGATTGTTCAGTCTCTGTTGAGTTCTCCAGCTCTGATTGATCAGCCTCTGTTGAGTTCTCAAGCTCTGATTGGTCAGCCTCTGTTGAGTTCTCCTCTTTTGATGTCTTGTTTAATTATTCTTTCAATGTATTAAATTTGATTTGATTATAATTAGAACCTTTGGCTAATAAAAGGGGCCATGCCAACATTTTCCCTTTAAAAAGGGGCATTTAGCTTGGGTGTACATACAAGTTTGTTCCAATTGGAACCCAAGTATTGTAAAGTTAACAGTCCTTAGGAAAGCAAACAGTTATTCACAGATCTGATAGTGCCAGATCATCAATGTTTCATATCTAGCACATAATCATATTTCTGGTGGAGATGATATCCGTTATATCAGGACCGTGTGTCTGTAACAGCCTCTTGCACAAAGCTCAGTGTTGAACTCTTCAAAGTAATCACTGTTACATTCAGCTTGTTCAAATAGTTATTTCAGGATTCAAGAAGGGGGTATTCTTTTGTATTAAATTGTATTAGAGTAACACAAGGCCATTTAGACCTCTTTTTAGAATACAAATTCCAGATTCAGCATATTTCATTAGAATTCTAAGGAAATGTCTGTGACATGTTGATACAATATAACTATGAGGTAGTGTAGGTGCGGAGCGGTTTTGAGAGGTCTGATTTTAGTTAGATTACATGTTGGTAATGTTTTTTGGTTGTTTTCCAGAGCCTTATTTCCATGTGGTGATTACATGGTGTGCATCATTGATGACAGAGAAGATGTGTGGAACTTCTCCCCTAATCTGATCCACGTGAAACCCTACAGGTTCTTCCAGGGCACTGCTGATATCAACGCACCACCAGGAATGGCGAAGACGGAGAAAGACAGTGAACCTATAACACACAAGGTCAGGAGAGTGTCAAGGTCAGATTCAAAGGAGGATGACGACAACAAGAAAGAGGCCAAGGGAGATTCTGAATGTGATAAAGATACAAAGGGAGATAATTTGATGTCAGGAGATACAGAAGTCAAGATCACATCTGACAAGTCAGAGATCAAAGGTCACAGTGCAGTGGAAGGGAAGTCTGTAACTGGTGATAACAATAATCATGTGTCCGACGGTTCTGGTGAGACAAAAGAGTGTCAGTCAAATTGTGAAACCCCTGAACAGAAATCTGTAGAAATAGATGACACTGGGAAAGGTGAGGAATCAGCAGCAGCAGGCACTAAAGCTGGCAATGATAAAGCAGATGAAAAGAAAGATGACAGTCAGAAAGAAAAAAAAGATGAGAAAGCTGATGGTGAAAAGGAGGAAGAGGAAGGTGGTAATGAGGAGATAGAGTGGGATGATGACGATGACTACCTCATGTATTTGGAGGAAATCCTAACACGCATCCATAAGGCCTTTTATGATTTACATGACCAACTCCAGAACAAAACCATCAAAGACAAAACAGAATCTCCAGATCTCAAAAACATCATCCCGTATGTGAAACGGAAGGTACTGAAGGGATGTAACATAGTGTTCAGTGGAGTTTTCCCCACCAATATGCCACCAGAGAAAAGCAGGGCTTTCATTGTTGCTAAAGCTTTAGGGGCAAACATTCAGACAAGCTTCGTACCGAGAGTAGGAAACAACACTGATGCCACCACACATGTAGTTGCGGCGTTACTAGGCACAATCAAAGTGCGGAGTGCTCAGAAAGCTAAAGGAGTCCATGTGGTCATGCCTAACTGGCTGTGGAGCTGTGCGGAGAGGTATGAGAAAGTAGACGAGCGATTGTTTGAACTGACAGCAACAGGTCCTTCCTCCTCTCGCAACAGTCCAGAAGTGTTCAGCCAAAAGTCAAGAAATTCAAAACGCAAAGCAGAAGACAGTGATGAATTATCTGATGAGGACAATAGAAAACGTTCGGAGAAAAAACCAAAAACAGCTGATACAAATGATAAAAGAGAAGAGAGATTTTCTGCCAGCTACAATCCCCTCTATTCCTTCTCAGACGACGACATAGCCTGTATGGACAAGGAGGTGGAGGAAATCATGGATGAGTCTGATGGCGATGAATCAGATGAAGATGATGAGGAAAGGGATGCTAGATTTCGTTCCAAAGTGTTGAGTTCAGAATCTGCACATGAATCAATGAGTGAAGATAGTATGACTGGAGATTTCCCGAGGGGGTGGAAGTCCAAAGGTAGAAAGTCAACCTCAAATGAAAACAGTCCCGGTCACGAAAAAGATCCTGCTGATGCATATATTGAAGGAGGTGAAGAAAGTGAGAATGAATTAGACAAATTTGAAAAAACTGTTGAAGCTTTTGCAGAAGACAGTGCAAGTGAATCAGACTCTGGTGAATCAATCGGGTCGGTTGATGATGAAATGGCTGCTGCCGTAGAGAGGGAGTTCCTCTCTCAGTAGTTAATATCAAATTGTTTTCATTGACATGAATTGTTTTCATTGACATGAATTGTCATCCCAATTGTTTTGTTTACTAATACATACACTAAAATTTTGTTTTCACACATTAAACTTCAATTTTGTCTTGAATTCGCCACAATACAAAATATGAATATCTTGATGTTTAAACAGTTTGATTTATGCAGTAATATTCCTGACTTCTAATTAAAGAAGTCCTCTTGTTAATCAGGATTATCCTGCTAGCATTGTGATCCTCAGCAACTTAACACTTACTCTACTACATTATTTCTTGTATTCATAAATAATGATAATACTTCAAGGTTCTTATATAAATAACACTTTATCACAACCTAGTTCTTAGGTCGTCTCAAAGCGGTTCACAAATTATTATCCATTATTATAGGGCTTTTGCAACCAGCCAATATCTTTCTCAACTCCCTGGGGAGCATACAGCCGGTGCTGCCATTTCATCGATCAGCTAGCATTCAACAATTCTAGCACTGCCCAACCACGTACTCATTTACAGCTGAGTAGACTGGGACAAGCGGCGTAAAGTATCTTGCTCAAAGATACAACACAGTGCTGTGACATGATTCTCATATACAATCAAAACTCTTAAACTTTCTGTTGATAACTTATACTAAACCTATCCTTTATACATTTCTGCTTATGAATAATAAATCTTTTAAATGATTGTGGTAGAACCTACTCTTATTCGTCAACTAATCTTCAACTACACCCTAAACATGCGTCGTCAATGTTAGGTGGCACCACATTGATTTAGGCTAGCTGTTTTCCAGTCTGACTACCAAAGTACTTACCATCTAATTATTGAATTATTGAGAGATGTAATTTGTATGTTTATCTCCATTGATAGTGTTGTATAGTGGTATAGCAGTACAAATACAAAGTCACAGAATAGTAAAGATAAATAGGACAGTTAATAGAATCCACAATCCTGTAAGTGTTCTTTGATAAATACATCTGTATTAAATACCTATAATGATAATTTCAGGAATGTGTTCTGATTGAATATGTATGCATATCATTTCTCACCACAGCATGGTCAGGGATGTAGTAATGCCCTGTGTTCATCCAAGGCGTTGTCAGGAGCATATCTCCCGCATTATATCACTTGCGACCATCAAAGTATGGTGAATCTGCCAAATTTTCCAAGAAAGAGTAGTCTTCATTTTTCCTCTGGGGTAAGGCAGGGACTTCTGGTTCCTTTACCAGGGCTCCCTCCTGGAACCACTCCTACATATATCCAATTGCCTTAGATATGATATGCTCATTTTTATGCAATGTCCCCCACCCCTTCTTCCACATAAAGTTTTGTACTTTTTGGCGGGGGGCATATAGAGTTACCCATGTGCATTTTGTCCCATCGTGTTTGTCATGATACATTTTCACAACTCTACTGACTTAATTTCTTATTTTCATCAAAGTTTATAAAAGGTTTTAAAAAGTTAAATATGAGAACATCTTGGACAATTTCCTATTTCAGGGTCCCAAGGTCAACTCCAAGGTCACTGATGCCATTTACAGATCAACCATTGCTATTTTGTCAACAGATTCATTGGTATCTGTTTACCAACTTCAACAGCAAGGGGGCAATTATATCTTACAGATGTTTTCCAGTTATTTCTAGTTTCATTTTCAGTACAATCATTATTAGCTAGCCTAAATCAGTGCTGATTACAATAAATTGCTAATTATGTATAACATTCTAAGTAGTATGTTGCCCAACTTCTGATTTAAATGACATCATTATGTTCACAGGATATCAACTGTCCTTTTGTTCTAATTCTTATTTTTTTAGACATTCTCAGAAATTGTGTTTAATTGTTATTGATATGTTTAGAGGCAGCACCATCTGTAAAAAAAAGTAATATATTATTTCATGTCCATGTACCTGCTACCCAATTCAACTTTAAGTTTTGTATTTACTGGGTAAGCTGTTCATCAAACATCCTGCACTTTAGAAGTATTGATCTGTAGAATCCTCCCTACCAGTAATATCCCTTCCTTGCTTAACTCATTCACTCCTGAAATTTCATAATTAAACTATTCCGTCCTTTTTATTGGAACAGTTCAAATGTGTCTTTAGGGGTGAATGAGTTAATATTCATAGACGATCTACAGAGCTCTGAGCAACTCTGTGTCTAGTCCTCAGTTACACAGATTTATTCTGACAATGTTTATAAAGTGTTGACAGCCAGCTCATTATATAAATTACTAAATATTGTCTGCAGAGCTAACTAGTACTGTGACAGAAGTATATGTCCCTTCTGTAATGTAATTAGTAAATATAATTAATGTACAGTCATTTTGTATATTGTCTACAGATCTAGAGATCTTACTAGTACTGTTACAATCATGCCAGTAACTGTATGCCCCTCGGAGTATTTATACATTTACTTACAGTAGATTGTCTACAGATCTTACTAGCACTGTTACAATCATAACAGTAACTGTATGCCCCTCAGGAGTAGTTATACATTTACTTACTGTATATTGTCTACAGATCTAGAGATCTTACTAGAACTGTTACAATCATACCAGGAACTGTATGCCCCTCTGAGTATTTATACATTTACTTACTGTATATTGTCTACAGATCTAGAGATCTTACTAGAACTGATACAATCATACCAGGAACTGTATGCCCCTCTGAGTATTTATACATTTACTTACTGTATATTGTATACAGATCTAGAGATCTTACTAGTACTGTTACAATCATACCAGGAACTGTATGCCCCTCGGAGTATTTACTCATCTGGAGATTTGTTCCCAGTCATGGTTATTTTATTTTTTTTCCTGTTTTTCTTTTGTTATTTAACTACAACTTACACACACATCTCAAACATAAGTACTAGACAAGTGTCAAAGTGTTCTGTTGAAATGGTTTTGTTTATAATTGTTGATGGCATCTATTTGTTGTATAAAAATTATTATATTTTGTCCAATGATTGATTTTTTGTGAACAAATTTGGTCTTAATTTTTCATAATAAAACATTCTAGTAACAGATCTAAATGTATGTGTCCTTCACTTTAAAATGTCTTTAGTTTTTTAGGAAGAGGTGCTCATTCAGATACTACTAAAACGTCTAAAACAGACCGCACGAAGTTTGACATCAGTGTAACAGACTGAGCATTTGATGAAATTTGACATCAGTGTAACAGACCGAGCCTTTGATGAAGTTTGACATCAGTGTAACAGACCAGGCATTTGATGAAGTTTGACATCAGTGTAACAGACTGAGCATTTGATGAAGTTTGACATCAATGTAACTGACTGGGCAATTGATGAAGTTTGATATCAGTGTAACAGACTAAGCATTTGATGAAGTTTGACATCAGTGTAACAGACTGGGCATTTGATGAAGTTTGACATCAGTGTAACAGACTGAGCATTTGATGAAGTTTGACATCAATGTAACAGATTGGGCAATTGATGAAGTTTGACATCAGTGTAGTAGACCGGGCATTCGATGAAGTTTGACATCAGTGTAACAGACCGGGCATTTGATGAAGTTTGACATCAGTGTAACAGACCGGGCATTTGATGAAGCTTGACATCGGTGTAACTGACCGGGCAATTGATGAAGTTTGACATCAGTGAACAGACCGGGCGTTTGATGAAGTTTGACATCAGTGTAACAGACCGGGCATTTGATGAAGTTTGACATCAGTGTAACAGATTGGATGTTTGATGAAGTTTGACATCAGTGTAACTGACCAGGCATTTGATGAAGTTTGACATCAATGTAACAGATTGGGCAATTGATGAAGTTTGACATCAGTGTAGTAGACCGGGCATTCGATGAAGTTTGACATCAGTGTAACAGACCGGGCATTTGATGAAGCTTGACATCGGTGTAACTGACCGGGCAATTGATGAAGTTTGTCATCAGTGAACAGACCGGGCGTTTGATGAAGTTTGACATCAGTGTAACAGACCGGTCATTTGATATAGTTTGACATCAGTATAACAGACTGGGCATTTGATGAAGTTTGACATCAGTATAACAGACCCCCATTTGATGAAGTTTGACATCAGTCTTACAGACCGGGCAGTTGATGAAGTTTGACATCAGTCTAACAGAGCAGGCATTTGATGAAGTTTGACATCAGTGTAACCGACCGGGCATTTGATGAAGTTTGACATCAGTATAACAGACTGGGCGTTTGATGAAGTTTGACATCAGTATAACAGACTGGGTAACAGACCGGGCATTTGATGAAGCTTGACATCGGTGTAACTGACCGGGCAATTGATGAAGTTTGTCATCAGTGAACAGACCGGGCGTTTGATGAAGTTTGACATCAGTGTAACAGACCAGGCATTTGATGAAGTTTTACATCAGTGTAGCAGACCGGGCATTTGATGAAGTTTGACATCAGTATAACAGACCCCCATTTGATGAAGTTTGACATCAGTGTAACAGACCGGGCATTTGATGAAGCTTGACATCGGTGTAACTGACCGGGCAATTGATGAAGTTTGACATCAGTGAACAGACCGGGCGTTTGACGAAGTTTGACATCAGTGTAACAGACCGGGCATTTGATGAAGTTTGACATCAGTCTGACAGACCGGGCAGTTGATGAAGTTTGACATCAGTATAACAGACCGGGCATTTGATGAAGCTTGATATCAGTATAACAGACCCCCATTTGATGAAGTTTGACATCAGTATGAAGTTTGACATCAGTGTAACTGACCAGGCATTTGATGAAGTTTGACACCAAAGAGCAGGCATTTGATGAAGTTTGACATCAATACAACAGACCGGGCATTTGATGAAGTTTGACATCAGTGTTACAGACCGGGCAGTTGATGAAGTTTGACATCAGTATAACAGACCGGGCATTTGATGAAGCTTGACATCGGTGTAACTGACCGGGCAATTGATGAAGTTTGACATCAGTGAACAGACCGGGCGTTTGATGAAGTTTGACATCAGTGTAACAGACCAGGCATTTGATGAAGTTTTACATCAGTGTAGCAGACCGGGCATTTGATGAAGTTTGACATCAGTGTAACCGACCGGGCATTTGATGAAGTTTGACATCAGTATAACAGACTAGGCATTTGATGAAGCTTGACATCAGTGTAGCAGACCATGCATTTGATGAAGCTTGACATCAGTATAACAGACCCACATTTGATGAAGTTTGACATCAGTGTAACTGACCAGGCATTTGATGAAGTTTGACATCAATGTAACCGACCAGGCATTTGAAGAAGTTTGACATCAGTGTTACAGAGCGGACATTTGATGAAGTTTGACATCAGTATAACAGACCAGGCATTTGATGAAGTTTGACATCAGTCTTACAGAGCAGGCATTTGATGAAGT